TGTATAAGAGACAGGTCTGTAAATATGCCACCTGTCTGGGCAGATAAGTTTTAAGACCAGTAACATCTGGTTTATAAGTGGTAAATGATCTGCCTTCCCTGATCCTAGTGGGGAAAAAGAGGCTGGGGGGAAGGGAAGATCCAAGTATTAGCAGCTGTTTCAGTCCTAAATTTAATGCTTCGGTTGAGCTGATCTCTTGAGGAACTGATGTTAAAAACTATCAGTCACACTCACAATCTGGAATTGCTTTCGTTAGGCTTCCAAGACTGCCTAGTTGGTCCCAAAGCTGACAAAAGAAAATACCTGCTGTCTTACCAGGAATTTATATATTCTGATTCCACAAATGTCTGTAAATGGCAGAGATGGTATCAAAACGTTCTAGCCTTCCAATATACCACAGTAGTCTATTTCTTGGCACAGAATTAAAAAACTACAACCAGTCTTTTTCTTTTGCTTGGCTATAGCTGATGCCAAGTATTCATAAACCTCAAAGAACATTTCTGCTAAAGATTATGTATTATACTTCAGATTTTTTATTTTTTTCCTTTTACATTCACTAACTTCATCTTCCCATCCAGTGGACTTTTCTGGCTGTGTTAGACATTCTTTCACCTTGTGGAAGAACAGCTTTTCCACAGATGTAATGAATGATCTTTGGGCAGGATGCATGCATGCTCGTCTGGATGAAAGTGATTTTCCACAAAGACTTATTTCACTGAACTAATATTATCATTGTGGAGTGAGTGTATGCCTGGCACTTTCAGAATTACCTATATTATATGGAAGAATGACAATCATAATTTTTCAAGAAAGAAAAGACACTTATCTTTTCTTTGACAAACATGCATCTTGGAGATGAGAAGGAATGAAGGCTCATATCTTTTAGTGGTTTTGGCTGCGTTTTGTTTTAAGAAGACAGGATCAATCCACTGATGGGTTATATATGAGTGGTGGAAACCCTTTTTTAATTGTCCTCAGGAAGAGGAAAGTCTTGGAGGATTTTGAATGGAGCATCAATTGCATGTAACTACCTGTCTGTGCATTTAGGGAGACCAAAGTTGTTAGAAAGCCACCCTATCAGCTCTGCTTTATAAGTCAGCTGCATGCCACAATCACCATTTAAAAAAACTATGGATAACTAATTTCTGGTGGACCTCTTACCATCATTCATTCCTTCTGAGGAAGAGCCCAGCCTAATGTTAATTTTCAATGTTTTTTGATGTATGGACACCAGAGCAAGACTTTCTTATGCAGACTAGTCCCCACTATAGTGGATTTATGCACTTTTTAGCAGTCAGCTTCATTTTTGTAGTTACTTATCTCATACTGGCCTACAGGATTTATGATTTAGCTGAAAAGAACTGGTCAAGTGTAGCCAATGGAGTACATGTGAAAGCCAAGCCTGTGTCCAGTTTAATCTGTCTCAAGAGTAACAATAGCAGCTAAGATACTAAAATATTGCCACAGAAGAAAGACGTATCATTTTTGACATTTTTTGCCAGGACTTTTGCCAAGGTCTTTCATACAATGCTCCTTGTTTAGGCAAAACTATTGTTCAAATCTTGTTTCTATTTTCCTTCGGTATTAATCCAACATTTTGCCTTCAGCTATGAAAGTTTTGCTTTGAAGCTGTCCTGGAGCCTCTGTGGGATGACAATCATTCTGTCTTGATGGCAGATGTTCTATCTCAGCAGGTGAAAGAAGGACACAGAGCAAGGTGTCAAAGATGGACAGATATATAAAAAGCTTTTTTTCTTTCAAGCAAAGAGTAAAACTGGTTTGGTTTTTGTTTGGTTTTTTTTTTCCAGATTGCAAAAAGCAGTATGAATAGAACTGTGAAAGTAAATAATGATTATTCATTATTTTTTAAAAGTGGAATACTAGAGATGTTCAATGAAACTAGTAGGCAGCAAGCCTTAAACAAATCCAAGGGTTAGACCAAATAATTGCCTTATTTTTGCAGACTTTCCAAACAATCAACTGCTGTCTACTTTGAATTAAGCTACTGAGCTGGTGAGCTTGCTTGTGTGAAACAATTCAGTAGATCTTGTGTATTTATTCATACAAAAGGGTGGCTTCCAATTGTTGCTGAGTCAGGGCAGTCTGAGTTTATTGGTGTTTCCCATCATTCGAAACAAATGCACGGCTTTAGGTTTTACACAGCAATGAAGTTTTCAGCGGCATACAGGGCATACATGTTTCTTTAAGTGACAATTTCATTGTTCACAACAGACAAACGTGTGTTCTCTAGGAGCGAGTTGTTTCATTACACATACAAGTGAAGAGTGTAGGGCTAGCATGGATCCACCCTTATGACAGAGGAGAAAACAAAGTCTTCAGAGACACAGAGACATTCTCAGAAGTACAGATTTTTCTCTTCTTGATCAGTCTTTTTGCAGAAAAGATCTAGGGTAAGTACCCTGTGGTAATGTCAGGTTAAAAAAAAAAAAAAAAAAGTAGTAATATATTTTTCTGCCTGCTATGCTGAGCAGCTATAGACATTTTTAAAAACAAAACCATCTTAGGCCAAAGTTGCCTTCCAGCTCCAGTTGTCACAGATCACTTCTAAGCAAAGCTCACCTGAGAGAACATAACTACTGAAGATAATTCAGCTGCATGGTGACAATTCAGTCCCATCTTGGTCTCCGCCACAGTTTAACACATGCATGGATGCACTTCAGAAGATTAGTTTAGGGCTGTGAAATCTTGCATATGTTCTGGAAACAGTGACTATGGTCTCAGCTCCTTATTGTGAGTCCTTCTCACCCCTAGTCATCCTGTGCTGTGAGGTATGAAGCAACCAGGCAAAGTGAAGCCTGCCAGCGCTGTGTGCCTGGGCAGGAAGAGAGGAAATAACTGCTTTCTTGAATATTAACATTCTTACTGCCATTGCATTCTGTGGATTTACTGTTTTCTGCATTCTCACTTTTTTTTTCAAGTGGCTGCCTTAGGACCAACTGGTCATCCTTGAATAGGTCAATAGCATAGTTGCACCCTCTGGATTTTTGCAGGAAGCAGCTGCCTGAAACTTGGCTTCTGACTAGTCCTTTTGGGTCCTACCCTTACCTTATCCTCTGTTTCAAGACAAGACTTACTGTGAGGGTAACAGTAATTGCATCTCTAAAAAGGCATCTCCATATCTTGTGGTCAAAATAGATTTAACTACCAGACCTATTCAAATATTAATAGGGTTAAGGGTTTTGTATAATCCTTACTGAAATTCTCTAAACATCTAGTTATGTAGTAAAACCTAATTCAACTAAAATAAAAATTTAGTGGACCAGTGCAACTGTTTGCATAAATACTGCAGATACACATTTTATGGATTACTAAGCATGATTTCTGAAAGCTAGAGAATTCATACAAATAGTAATTTCTGAGGAAGATCATTTCCCTGTAGACCTTATGTAGGCCTGTGACTTCTCCTACCCCCAAAACTAACCACCTCAGAATGGACACCTGATGACCTTTGTATGGACAAAACAGGTTCTAATTCTAGCAAAATAAATCTACGTGCTTTCCCTAGCGGAGCCAGTCAGTGTCCCTTTTTGCTCTATTTAGAATTTTGGTCAAAGTTAGGAAATAGCACTTTTAAAAGATCCTACTTACCTGAGCTTAATGGTAATCCACATTTTAAATATAAGACATCCTTTAAATGAGTTGAATCTTGTAGATGGATTTCACAGCTGTAGTATAGTTAGCACCAAGTTAACAGTGCCTTGGTACTACTGATTTGTGTCACAGAAATGACTGAGCTAAGCAAAGAGATACTAAGTGATCTTTAGGAGTCTGATAGTAACCTCAGTCACTGGAATTGTCTTGAAAGTAGTAACTGTAGAGTTGTCATTTGATGTGCCTGAGGAGACCTTACTGGTAGGTGCCTGCTGAACAGACCACTTTCTTCTTGGGTTTTAAAGAATATTTTTTAATTATTTTTTAATGAGTACAGTAAAGACCAAAGGTAGGATTCATCTTGATAATTTAGGACATCTACAGCATAAGCATCCATAGCTAAACTAGTCACCCTCTGTACCTTAGCAGCAGAAGTGAGGGGAAAAAAAACAATGACTAACCTATTTATATGTCTAGTTTGGGATGATCTGTGTTGTACCTTGGTCTGCCTTGACTGTATTGGCAGTTTCCACTGACTATACAAATTAATTGGGGTGCCTGTCTCAGATTTCGATGTCTGTGTATTGGCAGATGATTCCCATTCAACATGTTCAATAAAGGCTTGGTGTTCAATTGTGAGCTTTGTATACATGTATAAAATGTAAATAATTGTAGTTAATGTTAGAAAACTTAATTTCAAATTCTCTTGAATGCAGGCAGCATTAGTGAAACAACAAGGGTAGCTTTTGAGGATAACTGGAAGTATAGTGTTTAAAGCTACCTGGCATGTTTTCTTTTCTAGGTTGGCATTGCTGAAGAAGAGTGGTGAAGAAGATTGGAAGAGCAGGCTTGGCAAAAAGCAGGAGTACGCAAAAGTGTCTGTCACTGATCGCAGTGCGCAGATGCAAGAAGTTGAGCAGCTGTTGAAGGTAACTCTATCCTTGTTCAGAAAAAACATCTTGCTTGAAATGCTTCAGCTATCTGAAGATGCATCCAACTACACAGGCATGCCTAATATTAACTACTAGCTCCTTCTATACCTCTTGTTGTCAGGCTTGTTTAAAAAAATTCTCTCAACATGAGAGCTCTCTAAATGCAAATGTCTTCACTGTCCTGGGATGTGTAATATTGGTTACAGTGTCTTTACATCAGCAGATTATGAACCAGTAAGTGGGCCTGTAAGGTTTCTGGAATGTTTACAGGTATAATTAAATAAATTCTCCCCCCCCCCGCCCCAATGAAATTGGCTTGAGACTTTAAGTTCAGGTGTTTTTTTTAGTATGGGTGAGCTTGTAAAAATTTGATTCCTAAAGCTGTGTTGTCTCTGTGCATATACTTTGAGCAGCAATTTTGGATCCTAGAAATACTGAGGAAGTGCAGGTACCAGAGCATTCATGAGTCATTTGGCTGTTGGTTATCTTGCATGATCTTTGGTGTTTGTGGATAGCCAAAACGATCTGGACAAGGATTTTATCTGTCTTGTCTGTGTTAATTAATAGAGTGAGAGATAGGTAGAAAGGTGTAGAGGAAAAGGAAGTCCACATTGTTAGAACACTCTGGCTATGTCTATACCCGAGTAAGTTATGTTGCCCATCAGGAGTGGATCTGAACAATTACTGATGAGGACCTGCTATCCACTCTATACGCCCATGCTTGTTTTGCTTCAGTGAAGTTTCGCTTTAGTCTGAATTTAGTCTGCTCCTGTGGCCTGACTGCTGTTAGCAGCTGTGGTGTTACTTGGGAATCCAGGAGTGTGCTTCAGGGCTTAGTTTCATCCAAAAGTTTGTGTATTTTGCAATTGAAACCAAAGCACAGAAAGTGAGGATGACTGGGAGATTTGCTTCAAAATGGACTGCTGGTTCAAACTACAGGACTAATTTAGAATTCTTCCCTTCTGAATCTAGTATTTTGAAAATCTCAAGGTTGGATAAAACAGTCTGTTTCAAAAGCCTTTAATTCTTGAAGTATTTTTCACAGAGGATAAGTGAAGATAAAATTTGTGTTACAAATTTTACATGTGGGGACAGTAGTCTTTGGATCCAATTATTTAGTTGTGAAAAAGCTGTTTCTGTTAAATAGTATAGGCAAACAATAACAAAAAGTATTGTATTCCACCAGTGTATTATGAGTAAGGAGTTGTTACACAGTGTCATTATTGAGGATAAATCTGTGCCTGAACTTGTGACTCATCAATGGTTGTGTGTTAACTGGACAGGAAAACAAGAAAGCCGATTTTTGCAGTTTGGTTTATGGGTTTTGTTTTGGTTTTGCCCTGTGGACTTGCTCAAAAGTGCAGTTGCTAGTTTAAAAGATGTCCTAAGGCAAAAATAGTTTCATCGAGGAAAGCAAAATTGTGGTCACATTTTTAACAGGCAAGGCTCCTAAATGACAACTGTTGAGATCAGATAACAAATGTATTCCAGTTCAAGACAATGGGGTTGAAAAAAAGCTTTAAGCAGCTGCCAAGATCTAGGCAGAGGCAAAACCTTTGTTCTCTCTTCTCGCTCCCAGCACCCGTATCCTCCCTGCGGTGTTAACCATGTGCAGCAACTTCTCTCAGTTTAGCTCAAGTTAGGCTCTGAAAGCAAGTGAGCGTGAAGTGCTTGAAGGGTACAAGCTTTGAAGTGACAATGCTAGCAGTGGGAGTTTCCGTAACATTGGGTCACCCACTCTGTTGGTTCATGTAAGCTCTTGGCTATTTAAAGCCTAAATCAAAGGATTTGCATGTCTGCCAATGGGTGAAATCTTGGATGTATAAGAAGAAATGTTCGTCTTATTAGATACACAACTCTGATCTGTATCGATATTTGTGATGCTGATTCATTATGTGATACATGATAAATAATGTAAAGCTTCACTAATTTGCCCACACTTCTTAGAACACACCATGTCAGCTGGCCCTTAAATCTGGAAACCCTGTTACTGATAATTAATCAATGTGATGGCTGTTATCCTTTGAGGACCATGAAGCAGTGAGCCACTGAAGTCTCTATTTGTAAAAGAGCTTTGAGACAACGATCTTAGTGCTATCTGTTGCTGGATGGCAATAAAAATGCCGAAATTGTATTGATTACCATGTTTTGAGCTAGTTAAAACACAATTTCCACACATAGCAGTCATGCATCAACAGCAAGGGTGTGTGAACTTCTGTCATGCCCTGCTGCCTCAAAATAATACCTGAAGTTTTCAGTTGCAGTATGTCACTCCTGTTAATGTAGTCAGACACCTTTTGGGGTTTTCTTTTGTGGGTGTGTCTTTTTTAAAAGGTTATCTAACTTGCTCTGGAGATTTGATTATTGAAGCATAGCTGTATAAGATAGAATTTGTTAGAGTACATTTAGATTTCTTATAAACAACAAAAGTTGAAAGATTCATACTCTTAATAGTTACATTAAATAGTGCTGTTTGATCACTTTTAGTCAAAATGCTTCTTCATAGTTGTCTTCATGGTCAGATATTTCTCCAAATATGTTATAGTCATTTATAAGTAGACTAAACTGTAGAAAACCCCATAAAATTCATGGAAAAGCTGACAGAGCAACCTCAAATGGGGAAAAAAGGGACTAAGGAATTAACTCGAGGAAATACAGATGAGGGAGGGAAGTTGAGATTTACTTGGGGAGGTTCAGCATCTGTTTTGATGATTGCTGCACATAGGAGGAAAATTTGTTGGAAGCTGTGAGACTTCTTAAATTATTTATACGTACAGTAAAATATACTTGGACAATTCAAAGAACAGCTCTAACATCAGGGGAACAACTGTACACTGAGAAATGTCTTTCTGGAAAAAAAAAAAAAAGCCCCTTGGGAAAAATATTTTGGATTTAGCATATTTGTATTCATCATCTTAGGTTGGATGGAAGGCTTCTAGTTTGATGGGTTTTTTTTTCATGGGTAGAAGAATTAACTAAAAAATATTTCCTTAGTAGCAAAATATCAAGATTTACTGGAATGAAAGTTCCTATTTTATAGTCAGCCATTTTTAACAGAGTCCTTGATTAATGTGATTACCAGCTGCATTGCAGTCACATTAAGGCAGTGAATGACATTTGAAATGCACTTAATTCTTAGAGCAAGTTCAAATTGCAGCTCAGCACTGGTGTTAAAGGCTAAGGCTGAACAGTCAATTCAAAATTACTCGGAAGTTAAGTGTGTAAAAAATTTTAAAGGGGATAAGCCCTTAAAAAGTGACCTTTAGGCAAAATATTAGTCTCTTGCTGTGGTGATAGTTTTATCCATTTCATATATGGCATCCACCAAGTGCTCGTATCCAATTCTAATTAAAGCTGAAACTCTAGATTAGGCTTCATTTTGAGCCACTCTATAACAAGCTGAATTTATCCATATTCTGTGCAGTGTTCCACATTTGCTTTAACTTGTAGAAAGGAAGAATTATAGATGATAAAGCCATCTCTAATCAGCTTTGGGTATGCCCAGCTCTGAGGCAGAGTTTATTTGTAGGCTTTGTTTAGAATGGTGAACTCACCTTTGAGTCCTGTTTGTTTAACATTTCCCTCCAGGTGGCTTTTGAGTTTATCCCAGTTTTAGTAAGCATTCTTTCCTTTCATCCAGAAAATAGATGGCTTGTTATTTATCAGGGTCTGATTAAACTTGCAGCAGAATTATTCACATTGTGGTTGACATGGTTCATCAATTTAATGGTGCATGAAAAACAGAGACATAAAAATTATCAGCATATGAAAAGTGTATTTTCTGGCTGTGCTGTTTCATTCTGTGTGGAGTTGTAATGATACTGTTACTTTTTTCCTGCATGGAATGGTTTTAGTAAGCATGCTGTTGTATTATGACATTTTTGATCTCTGTCTTTCCAATAGGGAAAACATTTCTAGAAGATTAAAAGGTTCAGATGTACTTCATTTTAAGAAATTAGGGGAAGACAAGTTATTTCCCCCACATCTCCTTTTCTAATAGTCCAGTTCTTTTCTAATTCTTTTGCTTTGCTTCTGTCCTTGTCATAGGAACCTGTATATGCTTCTACTTACTCTCCTGTTATACCTGCTCTTCATAAATTTCATCCTTTTCTACCTATTAATCAGGTGAGCAAAAGTCTGCAAAATTTAAATGCTCAACAGTTTCAAAGAAGCACATTTTGACCTTTCTTTTTTTTATAGGAAATTAATAATCCTTTTAACTGATTAGCCAGCTTAGTAAATGCTGCTTTAAAGAAGTATAGAATTATGCCACTACGCTGTGTACTTTTCTTCAATATAAATTCTGTTAGTGTTTCTCTTCCAGTTCTTTTTCTAAAAATTCTGTATCTGTTAGATTGCATAGGTGAGAAAGTGAATGGAGACATTGTTTCTTTCATTAGAATTCAATAGAAAATTTGCAAGTTGTTAAAAAAGTGTATAAAAAGGAGCAATATGTAAATGCACAGCATTTATTTTAGAATAAAATGCTGTGTACACTGACTTCTTTAAGTAATGAGCATATACATTGTAAGACATAAAATCATATAATTTATTGACTGTAAAAAGCAAGCTGCTTTTGTTCAGAGGTGACTTTCATATAATGCTTTTCCCTACTCCCCGTCTAAAGGATTTTTGCCTTGGCACATCCTGCTTCTATTCTCTGACTGTCCCATCTTCCTGCTTCTCTCTCTCTTTCTTCCTTTAAGGTCTGTAGTACTAGTTTGAAAGAATCAAGTGCTCTGATTTCTGATGAACGTCATCCTTGGAGATGGAAGGTGAAATACTGTATAAACTTCCTACTTAATTATTGGAAGGAGGAGTAAGGCAGAAAATCTTACTCAGATCTAAGATGCACATTCCCAAAGCAACTTGTGGCAACAGAGTTAACGTGGTGTTTGCTTGAGAATAGAGTTCTGCTGCTGTTCCAATAAATGTTAGAGAAGCTTCCTGTGAAGTGCTCCTCAAAATTATGCCCATACCTCTGCAATTCTATCATAAACAATTTGAAGAATTTACTTACAAAGATTTAATAGATAATGAGAAATAGAAACTTTCTTCACATAGATCTATATAGCAAAGTTGTCTCTGAGCAGAAGTCAAATACTGGATCTTGATCTGAGCAAATAGTACCTGTTTCACATGATCAGAGGTAAAAAAAAAAAAAAAAAAAAAAAGGCAGGAGTGGGCAAAGAAACAAGTTGAAGAAAAACATGAGAAAACAAGGATTGTTCACTAGAAAATCCCAATAGATCTATATAAATCTAGTTCTGGTTTATTAGACTTCATTGTCCCTTGCCTCTCACAGCTCAGATCTGTGGTTGTAGTATCACAAGGAATCCACTGGGTTCTTCATTCCTACACAAAATAGAGTGTATGTTGCATGTGGGGAGCATTCTGACCAGCATGCATAATGGCAGTGAATCCAAGGGGCAGATATTCACTACTAGAACCAGAGGATGTTGATTATGGCAGAGGCTACTGTAACAGCAGTAGAAATTTTGACTACTGATAGTTACCATTTACACATTCACTTTTATAGCTGATTTTGAGGATGATCTTTTACTCTGATTTTTTTTTTTTTTAATTAAAAATTAAATTTGGGGCTAGTAACTGAAATGTTTTAGTGTTACCTCTTCTCTATAAGCTCTGGATTTAATATAGCTTTATTACTATATAATTCCAATAACCTATTCATTTTGTTGTGACAGAGTTCGCCAGCTCTATGTATCTAAAAAATATGTAGTCTGACATAATAACATAATATCCCTCCAGTAGTGAGAGGAGGTCCCTCAGTGGGCTGTTTGTCCCATCTGTCTTAACACCTAAAAAGTGTTCATCTTTCCATTGACTCTGGTGAGCTACATCGTGCCGTCTTAGAAAGCTACTTCTTTCTGACATAGTGTCAAGGTGCATACAGATTCATTTGGTTTTTTCCTGGCATATTAATAATTTTGTTGTTTGCACCAAACACAAGTCAAGTATGTTCTATTTTGCCCAAACCACTTTTGAACAGAAAGCTGTGCATTTATTTGAGTTTTCTTCTTATAACAAGACCCATATAAAGTTACAGAGGAAAACAACGGAGAAACTTTTTAATACTTTTGCAACTGTTGGATTCTTCTTGTGCTTTTTTGCCTTGGGAGCCTAAACTAGAGAAGTTACTAGTATTATAAAGCAAATAGGTAGGGTTTGGATTCTTTTATATAACTTTGGTCTTAAACAGATCCCCCTTTTTTTAAAAAAAAAAAAATGTTCATTCTTGGTTTGGACTCCTCCAGGCAGGGGCAGTCTTGATCTTCAACATAGAAAACCATGAATTCTCTTATTTCTTGCATCAAAAAAACAAAGCAAAAGAAAGCCCAGTGCTAGCAGACCACTCTCAGTTGTGTTCTTGTGACCTAAAGAGGACACTGCTTGGACTGGAAAATTGTAGGATACAAAACAGAGCATTCCCTAGATGTGGGCCCTTCCTTAGCTGATACTGAAAAAGCAGAGGAGTGCCTGTGCATACTCTCAAGAAATGTGTTGCAGTGCTACAAAAGACCAATACCATCATTCAACCTAGCCAAGCAGTGGAAGGAAAATAATTCCTGTTTCCTGGTTCTGCATCAAGACTATAACTCCTTCTCAGACTTAAACCATATCTTTTAGAAAAAAATCCAGTATTTATTCTAAATTGCCATCATACAGAAAATTCACTGCAATATTAAGTAATTTTTCATGTGTAATTACTCTCACTGGTTAAGAGTTAACCCTCTCTTTGGTAAAAATACTCATCTGATAATCTGAGGTAGATTTCTTTTCAAATCTTGAAAAAATATTTTAGCCCTTTTCTGAACCCTTTCAAAATTGTCAGCATCATGGATAGAAGTGTAGAGGCTGGAAATGGAAGAACTATTGCAGTACAGATTATCTGTTCAAACCTACTGTTCCATGGGAATTTTTCTCTTCTTTTGTCTTCCTAGTTTTCTGGTGTTTGCTTGTTTCCATTTTCAAGTAACAGTCCTCTTAAAAGCCTCATTTACCAGATTTTTCCGATAACCTTTTTTTACCCATCTATATGGTTATTTCTTCTTTTTCTTCATCACTTTTCTGTATGTTTGTGTCATCCTGAGGGTCTTCTCAGAAGAACTGTATCTTTTTTCCATGTGCATGAAAACATTTTGGTCAAAGTTGGGACAAATCAGACCACTGCATGGCTCTTTTCTGTTTAGAAATAATTTTTTGGTCGGTTAACTAGTTTGCAGCCTGTAAACTGCACTGATATTTTTATATCACTCAAAACCCCCCTCAGATTGTCATCTGTGATTAACTCAAAATATATTAAAGAAATCAGAGGTAACCGTGTTAACATATTTATTCATACTTGATCTCATCAAACTTACCATTTTGATTAAACCTGTTTTCCATAATGCCATGTGGAATGGCATTAATTATGTGCCTGTGCTTTGATTCTTTATTGATTGTCTTATAGCAGTCTTTTCATGAGTGTCGGGAACAACCCACAGCTTGTGTGACCTGTACCTATATTCTTTAGTTCTACTTCTAAATATTGATCCCATCTGAGCTTTTATAAGTCCTATACATTTTCCCATTTTTCAAAGGCTTTTTTAAAAAAAAATAATAAAAATCACTGCTTGTGTTTGGGGCATTTCCTCTTCCAATTATTTTATGTTGTTGGATGCTAATTCATCTGATTCTTTTTCTGTTACGCTTCATTTTAGGAATTTATAATTTGTCTGAAACAAGACAAATCAGTGAACACATGAATGTATTTTTTATGACAAATAGGATATTTCATTGTATGTAACAGCACTGGGACTGTTGTCTTCCTTAGCTTTTATTTATTCCTGCTACATTAAAATAATTCTTGTTTTGGCTTTTTTATTGTGGTCTTTAGCTCCCTTTATCAAAATGTCACAGCTACAAATTTGAGATTTATGCTTCTTTCATATCTTAATTTTTTTTTGAACTTAGAAATAAAATTTACACTTAAATGCTTGTTGAGTTTCACCTTGCCATATTTTCTCCCAACTAGAATGTACTTTGACCCACTCGTTCCTCCATAAATGCTGTTATTTGGCAATTGTGAAGGCTTTTTAAACTACTCCTGATTACCAGGTGTATTTGTTCTGAAATTTCTTTGACAGTTGTGTTGGCTCATGTTAGTTTTCCAGCTATAGAAAATTAGTCTTCCTTTTAAGCATCAGATATGCTTTTGTTTTCCACCAGGACTGTTATAGCAAATTAAATGGGTTAGGGGTTGCTTGGTGTCTATTCAGCTTATAGTTTTTTTAAAAATTTGCTTATTAGGAATTATTGTTTATTAGAGGAAGGTGGGAGTCTTCATGCATTAAGATCTAATATGGAATTGCTCCTGAATTTTGTAACATACACATCCAATCTGATTTTCTTTTTTTTAGGAACTCCCAAGGACATTTTGTCCAACAGAGCAGCTTGAAATCTTCCATTCAGAAAAAGAAAAAAAGTTTGTTTCTACTGTTGTAACTCTCTTTTGTCCTTTGACAAGGCTCCAGAATTATTTACGATCTTTCTTACAATTTATGTGTATAGTGATTAACACATATGCATTACATGTCTCTGTCTTCAGAATTTCCAGTAGCTCTGCAGACTCTGAAGCTTCAGGTATTTGCTGGAGACAAAATTAAAAAAAAAAAAAAAGAAAGAAAGACTCCATAGGACTATTTCTTCCTGCCTCTCCCTCACTTCCCCTTATATTGTAATCAAAGTCAGCATCTTCACTAAGTTAAAAGTATTTGTTCTGTGTATGAAATTTCACTTGTGGCTTCATTAGTTATATATATATATATATATTAATTTTCTGCCAAAATCTCCTTTGGTGTGTTGCTGGGTTTTTTTTGTTCTACCAGCTGTTCATCCCAGAGGTCCCTGTGCTTCAGACATTGGAATGGGTGGAGACTGGGAAAAGCCAACAGAGATTACTTCCAGTATTTTTATTTAAAACATTCAGATGTTTTTTACAGAAAAGGAAGCAATATTGAGTAGAACTGCATCTTGCTATTTCTACTGAACATTTCAGAGTTCTGGGGGAAATATCAGAGGTCTTTATCTTGATTATCATGACTTGCAGTCATAGTGTCTGGCTGGCCAGCTATCTTTCCTAATAAATTGAGAGCAAGGTTGCAGCGGTACACAGAACCAAGGAATGAGTGGAGGGCTCTCATGTCTGAGTCCTTATACAAGCCACTTCTTGGATTGTTTTTACTCTTCTGGCTGATAGATACTGTTCCTGGTAAATGCTGAAAGCTATGAAATCGCTATTTTGGTGTGTCCTCTGCAGTTACAAGAGTTTTTATATTAAAAAAAAATGACTGATTTATTTAGTCTGTCTGATTTTAAGAAAATAAATAAATAAGAATATCTGGATTTATATTTCTTCCTTCTATCTTGAAATGGAGAATAGTGTTTCCTTTATGTTCATAATCTTTTGAGTCCTTTTTCATTTCCTCTCTGTGCTTGTATGAGCTAGAGCTGTGATAAAGCTTTAGATTTTCATGTGTTTTGGAAGTAATTCTAGAGTTAACAGTCCCATACACTAAAAATAACTTCTGTACTTGATTTCTATGCAGTATAATCCCTGAAATGTTGCTAATTTTTTAAGATAAGTGCATTGAAGCAATATTTCTTTGGCCTGACCTAGCTACAGCAGAGTGTGTAAATCCAGTTTCTTTCCTGGGTAATATACCATCATCAATCCTTTGTGTTTGGAAGGCACTAAGATACTTCATGCTTCTAGCTGCTTCTAATTACTCAAGATGTTGGCTGTTATCCTCTGAAGCAAGCAAAGAAAGTTGAGGGTGACTTAGAAAAAAAAAAATCACAGTCATTGGAAAAATATTCAGTAGGGCAATAGCTGACATAGGAACTGAAGTGAGCAGCCTCTGGAGAGATAAGGCTGCTAATTCTGCCCAGAGAATTTAGTTACTGTAAGAGAGTGATTCAGAAATCACAAACTGAAGTTATACTTCTTCATTGTTATTCCCTGTGCCACCTGCAGATTTGAACATTTGAAAACATCTGCTAAAAGTCAGTGATCTCACTAGTGTAGCAAGTCATGCTTCAGAAGGACAAAGTCTGGAAAATTATATCATACACAGAGTAAATTATTTGCTTTGCTTAGAGGGATGCCATTTGCCTTGCCTGGTAGTTTCAAGAAAAGACCAAAGAGCACAGACCAAAACCTTATCCTCACAATGTAAGGGGGCAGCAGGACAATGAAGCTTCTCAGGGTCAATGTCGCTAAGCTGTGCCTATGACTTTTCTTTAGTAGCTTGTTCTCCTATTCTCTTCCCTCTACAGCTAGCAGTTGAAAAGTTCAGCCAGCCCTTTGCTATATCCTAGTTGGTTGATCTATTTTTTTAAAATATCTTTCTCTTTTCCCCCCAAAAAAACAGAGAGTGGCAGATAACCATGAAAGTCAGATGACCATTGAAGAAAGAAAACACCTGATTACAGCTCGAGAAGAAGCTTGGAAGTCAAAGGGTAAAGGAGCAGCCAATGATTCCACACAGTTCACTGTAGCTGGCCGAATGGTAAAAAAAGGTCAGTGGTTAAATGATCCTAATACAAATAAGTCACTGCTTATCTGTCTAGTCAAAATAAAGTCAAGCTAAAGCTATGCAGAAACAATATCCATGTTTAGGAAAAGGAGGACTGTTTATCTTCAGCTGAATATCCTATCATGAGACTGCTCACTCTAACTTCTAGTGGCCATTGGTCCATTTTGTTCTGCATTGTTGCACTACCATCCAGTTATTAGTGGGCTCTGGTGGTAGGCACTCACTTGAACAGTCAAATGGTTTGTTTTTCCTTCTAATACAACTCAGAGGGCACAGTGGATTATTCTTTCTTATTTATGCTTTGAAAACCCAGGCGCACTGTCTAGAGAAAAGTTGTGAAATCTAGTCCTTGCTGTTGCTGGCACTTCCCTTGTTCCTAGGGTCACTGGGAGTATTTAGCAAACATGTGTTACTTTTATGGATGCTGTTTTGGACAACAACTTCAAGTGTTGTTTGACTGAAAAAAACACTGAACAGATTTCTGCATAGAACCAGAGAGTAGAAGTGACAAGGAAACAATGTTGACATTTTGGGGATCTCTTGAATTCAGTCACTGTTTCCAGATGCACCATTCTTCTGAAGTGGACGGGAGTCTCTGGAGGCTGTGCATGGTAGAAATACAGCTGTTCATGCAGTGTGCCTGGCAAGATGATAGCTTTGGAAAGAAGGCACCTAAATGGATCTCTTGTAACAAATTTAGTATTCATTAACTATAAGAACTTGATTATTAAATACAACAACAATGAACATTGAGTTCAATGACAATCACTGAGAAAATCATTGTGGGGTGAGGACAGTATTGTAACAGGGAGTAACTCCATTCACAATCCAAGCCATATTCTGTTGGCAGATAAACAGATACATGGTATTATGAATTACATCTATTAGTAACATATTTTAGCTGCTGCTTGCATTGTTTTGCTGCTAGGAATGCCAGTGGTCACAGTGTTTAAATACAAACTTATTTTGGAGGGTTGCAAAAAAAAGTGTTCAGTTGTCCACAGATTGCTTTTTGAGATTTTCTTTTATTTTTCCAAATAGATTGGTCTATGGAAAGGAATAGAAGGTGTTAGCATTTGTTCTTCTTAATGGAAAAATAAAAAATACCTTGAAAGGTTCTCTTTAGGTGCTGCGATCATTCTTTTAGAGAAACAAGATAATCCTGTGACAGTGGCATCAATAAAAGTAGCCCAAGTGGGATTTTATTCAGATGTGTGCTATTTTTGTTGCCTAAAAGAATAAATTATCATGATGAGTTTTTCATTTAAGAGATGATGAGAAAGCAATGCAAAATTAAGTCCTTGTTATATACATGTGCACAGATGCTGTATTTTAATTGCTTCTAATGGCTGAAAGTTTTTCAGTCCTAAGTGGAAGGTGGTCCTTTACTAACATCTGAACCAGCTCTCAATCTGGTCTTGTGGATTAAGTTTTGAGAAAGCTGCTTAAGATCTGTGTCCTCTCAAACACAGTTTGATGAAGTCTTTACCAGTTGACTTAAAACCTGCTGGAATTTTGAGTCTCTTAGACAGGGGAAAAAATTGTTTGTGGAAAAGCTACTTGATTATATTCTAAATCTATCTTGATGTTTGACAATTACGAATTTCTAGGAGTTGAAGTAAAGATAGTGGAAACATAGTTAGTATATATTCTCCCAGCACAATATTGGTTTAATCATCAAAATAACTAAAGCTTAAACTGATGTGGCTTAATAATTAGTAAACTATGGCTAAGGAAATATTAGATATTAGAGGGAAGTTTAATGTCAGTTTCCCCATGTACTGAAAGTCTAGGCAACAAGATGTGATAGATGCAGTTCTTTGCTTCAGTATGCTTTTCTACCTAATAACAACCACGAAACCTATAGAGTGTCATTTCTCTTACTGGAGCAATGTAGATTCACGTAAAAAGAACCAAACAAAAATAATCTTATTTTATGCACTGGGTCCAGAATGAATTGCTTAATGATGGTTACTGAAAAGCAGGGGGAGGGGTGTACAACAAAAGGAGGGAGTAACACTTGATATGGTGAGGACTCCGACTTCCATTTCTACTTCTGTTTCTGCATGTTCTTAAAAACATAACAGGGCCCAAGAATTACTGCTTAATCCAGGGACAACATTCACGGGTCAGATGCATCCTTCTATGTGCATCGATAGAGATGGGTTTAAATTTAGAAGGGGGTGGGGGTGGGGTGGGGGTGTGAAAATGCCAAGGAAAATCTTGTTTCTCTGCTAGCCATATCTTTTTGTTCAGAACAGTTGCATGTTTTTAAAATGTGAATTGAGGTGGAAATGCAGTCCAAAATGTAGACCAAGTAAACTGCTGCTACCTTGAGAAGAAGCAAAACAACTGTATTCAAGAGAAAACATATATCTTGTTAGCTTGCTTACAGACGCTTGGAAACAAAGCTTTGTTGTTGTGAATGGGACAGTTTCTGAGGCTGCTGTTGATTTAAGGAGCAGGCAGGCCAGTACACTCTATCCCTAATACAACAGTTGTGGAGGCTGGAGAAGTATGAGGGACTGTAGGAAGTGGCCAAGCTTGTCTGCTTTCCCTAAATAGCTTTCCGTGTCATCACTGTTGGAAACATGGGCTGACCTGGGACCGCATTTCCTATGTTCTCTGTTCTTACACAGGTCTGGCTTCTCCAAGTGTGTTAACGCCAGTATCATGCCCTTTCAGTAACCGGCAGAAGTCTACCATGCCAGTTACAAAGCCCTTGGAAGGTAGGGAATAAAAATGGCTGAAATACATTCAGGCTTTTTTACTTTCTGTCAATTAACAAGTTTTTCTTTCTGGTTTGCTTAGAAATTGAAGCCAGGCCTGACATGAAATTGGAATCAGATATGAAGCTTGACAAGCTGGAGTCATTCTTGGGAAGGCTGAATAACAAAGGTTGGTAGAGTTACCAAAGGTGGCAATGTATCCACTCTCCAACTTCAGTAAGTAGCTTAAAGTACCTCTTAGTTAAAATGTTCTGGTAACAGAAACTGAATATTTCTTTGTTCAGACTGCACTCACTGATCACACTGTGATTCGGTCCTTGTTATTTTAATAAAAAAATACATTACAACTTACATGTTGTTAAAGTCATAACTGCCAAAATAACTTTCATCTTTCTCTATACGTGATGTATGCATTCTTCTTGAGAGCAAAATTTCTTAAAACCATGCAGCCAGTTTGAACCATATTGCCATATACAGTGAAACAGCTTTAAATGTAGTTTAATCTTTTTAAAATCGAGATAGGACACTAAGTTGCTTCCAAACACAATTAATTCAGTTTCACACTTTTTTGAAAACTGACTCTCTGTAGCAGCTTGTACAGCTTCCTTGTGCAACTTGTTGGCTACCTATGAAGCTGGTGTTTCCATCTCATATGTCGTGTCCTCCATTTGTAAGACAAAAATGCTTTTGTAACTTGTGGAGTGTCAATACCATAAACAAACGTATTCACATTTCATCAGAGGAGGCATAGGATAATGATCGTGCCATACTCGCTAGTCTGAAGTAGTGACTTTTCCACTTGTAGTTATAGTAGGTCTTTTCAAAGCAAGGAATTCTGTGGTTGGAGGCAAGGGGGAATGTGCAAGACCGTAAAATATTTGTATCATCCTACCAAAGCAACTAATTTTTGATAGTGCCTAACTTTTTGTTCAGCTGTATTTCTCAAACGCTTTGTAATAAAGATGATTTCATGTTAGTAGCAGTTACACTCCATTTTTATAATTCCTTTCCAACAGACTTTTCTACCATCTCTCCTTAAAATTCCATCAGTTAAAAAAACAAAAACAAAAACCAAAACCAAACACAAACAAACAGAAATAAACACCAAAAACCGAAACACCACCACCATCCAAAAAAACCCCTACCTTAACACCTTCCAAACAAGCCATGTTTACCTTTTCTAGAGTTAGAAACTCTAATATGTTTATTTATTGAGTGATTTTTTTTATTTTTTTTTTTCCCTGCAGTTGCTGGGATGCAAGAGACAGTGTTGACAGTTACAGGAAAATCTGTGAAAGAGGTGATGAAGCTAGATGATGATGAAACATTTTCCAAATTTTATCGCCATATGGATTTCCCTTCCTCCTCAGTGCCTTTGGACCTTGATGAGGATTTTGATGCCATCTTTGATCCTTATGCACCAAAGTAAGAACTACTGGGTTGGGTTGGTTTTTTCCATTGTTATGTGTGCAGACATAGGGGTGGTGGTCCAAATGTTCAGCTGTAAGTCATCTTGTAGATATCTTAGTACCAGCCATGTCCATTTCTTCTACACATTTCTGGAATCACTCTTCAGCTTGAATCGAAGAACTGAGTTTGATGTCCTAACAAACGTCACACCCAAAATCAAAGCAAATCTCTTGTTATTAGATGATTATGACTACAAAAATTAACCGATGATTATAAACACTGCTTGATTTTCAGGTTAATATCTTCTGTAGCAGAGCACAAACGTGCAGTTAGGCCTACGCGCAGAGTCCAGTCCTCAAGAAACCCCCTGAAAATGCTGGCAGCAAGAGATGATATTCTCCATGAATATACTGAACAAAGACTGAATGTTGCCTTCATGGAGTCAAAGCGAATGAAAGTAGAAAAAAGTAAGCTAACAGGATGATTTGTGTAAGACGTCATCTTGCTTTTTTAATTAAAAACAAAGCAAAACAAAAAAATCCCAACGCAAAAACCACAATTGAAAGACTGGAACATATTCTCTGAGTGGCAATAAATTGAGGTATAAGGTTGACTACAGACTGTCTAGTAGGTCTGGAGAGAAGGGCATGTGTGACTTCATCAAGGAAAGCTACCTACAGCTGCCTCCTCTGCATAAGTTTAATAATTTATTTTTAGCACAGTCATCTTGTGCAGAGTGCCACTGCGCATGCAGGGTGAGGACAGGAGAACAAGGAGAGCAGATCTAGCATTATGCTATGCTGAGGGGGATTGCTGGCAATAAGAGATGAACTTTTGCTCAGGTACACTAGTCTCAATTTTGGGTCCTAGTTATCTTTCAGAAACTGGAATTAGCCTTCTTGACTCTTGACAGATTAATTTCTATAAAGGATTGGTGCTCTGTTCCAGGGTTTCTGTTTTACTTGTGACATTGCTTTCTCCTGACAACCAGATGAACAGAAGAGACATTATTGTAAAATGTATTCAAAGGTTTGTCAGGCCACTTTTACCATTTTGAATACAAGTTTTCCTTATTACATTTGAATAAAGGGAAATCAACTTTAAACATTGCCTCTATTGATAACAACACTAATTATATGTGTAATACTTTGTTGCCATTTGATAGGAAACATTTCCCTGAGTTATAGATTCATAAAGTGCTTTGTCTTTCATTGGGAAATAAGCAAAAGTAGCCAAGAATTTAGGCTTTAAGTTTACAGTAAAACATGACTAAGACTTTGAAATGTAAATGAATGTTGCATCACACTAGCTGAGACAAATTTTAAGGGAATTTCAGTTGATTAGCCTTGACTACCCTGCTGTCTTTTATCATTAATCAATTACAAGGCATTGAAGATCTACACAGTACTTCATAAAACACTGCAAAAGACGTGTTTCTTAGCAAAGTTGCTATTTCTGCCAAATAAAATATTTCAGACACTGACAGTTTACTTTTGAATGATATCTAGAAACTTAGGTACTACTAAGCCCACAAAGCTTTTGAGCTACCAGATAATCTGATTTCAGCCTGGTTTTGTTGTTGCTATTGAGAAGGAGAAAAGCTGGAAATAATGGGGGAGGGGATAACTTTTTTTTAATGCAATGACCACTTTTAAAATAATTTTTTCCTTTTTTTTTGTTTTTTGTCTTTTTTCTCCAACTTCTTTTTATGTACAAGTGTCTACAAACTCAAATTTCTCAGAAGTAGCACTAGCTGGCTTGGCAAGCAAAGAGAACTTCAGCAACGTTAGCCTGCGGAGTGTTAATTTAACAGAGCAAAACTCTAACAACAGTGCTGTGCCATACAAAAAGCTAATGCTGCTGCAAATTAAAGGTATACTGGAGCTGTGTTTACTTTCCATACATAAGAGGCTGATTGTAATGTATGGGAGTTGCTACCACAGTTGGATGCTTAGCTTGTTCTAGATCTCTAGCTTGAGATTTATGTCCAAAACCTAAAAGAGTAAGTGAGAGCTGTTACAAATGCAAAACCTTACAAATAGGTTTGCACTGTGGCACTGATGTGTGTTTTCCAAGGAAAAAGCAAAATATTTCAGACTCCTAGCTGTCTCCTGTGGACATTTTTGAACTATCCCATTATTCCAGTGGTTAGTATAACTTGGGAATGACATAACACTGTTCTTGCTCCACTTCCCCTTACAGTGTTTAGTAATGTATCTGATTCTGCAAAATAATAGCTAATTTTTTTGGCAAAGTAAAAGTCTTAAAGCTTTTTACTGCATACAGAATTGTACGATAGCTTCATTTAAGCAAATGTAGAGGATTCTGGAATTTGACTGCTGTCTGCCATTTACTTAATTCATTCCTTCCAGAAGGACACAAAGTTGTTAAAGCAAGAACAGGCAATAATAGAAATATTAGTTGATAGGAGGCAACATTTTTTTTGTTTCCTCTGAGTAAACTCTTTTTCCACAGTAGTAGTCTTTTAATTCTTCTTTAACAGTCTGTTTCCATATATTTTGGTAAATCTGCTGGGATTGTTTGTACTTCATTCAAAACAAATTAGATCTTGGTATTTGATAGCAGTAGTCAAAGGCATATAATTAGCTCTGTTTTCTCTTTAGGAAGAAGACATGTTCAAACAAGATTAGTTGAACCAAGGGCCTCGTCACTGAACAGCGGAGACTGTTTCCTGTTGTTAACTCCACATTTCTGTTTCTTGTGGGTCGGAGAGTTTGCAAATGTCATAGAAAAAGCAAAGGTTAGTACTAGTTGGGTTTTTCTTATTTATTTTCAGAACTGTTGCAGCACATGTCTGATGTAATTGAGCCTTGGTGCTGGTTGTTTCAAAAAGTGGCATGTAACTGAAAGTGACAGGTAGATGTGCACGATTCCTGTAAACATGTTTTAGCTTGTGCACTAAATGAAAGCTGACACAGGAGTGTGTAGGTAGTGAAGCTGCAAGAGAAAAGAGGATATCCTCAGGAAAGATATTTGCACTCAAACAAAAAATAGTCTGAATTGCAGGATGTCCTTTTTATTCCAGTGTTCATTAAGATCAAGTCTTGTTTTAAAGCAAATGAAAGAACTACTGTATTTCTGTAACATTTTCTCTAGTGTCTATTTGTTTAGTGCAACAAATAGTAAATTTTCCCACTATTTGCTCTATTTATATCCTATCTACTTTTGCCTTCTCCCTGAACAAGATATGCACAAGTATTCCAAAGTCATAAGCAATCTTGTTAAGATAACTGTTAATCTCTTAGGCTTCAGAACTTGCAACTTTAATTCAGACAAAGAGGGAACTTGGCTGTAGAGCTTCTTACATACAGACTATAGAAGAAGGAATAAATACCCATACCCATGCAGCCAAAGACTTCTGGAAACTCCTTGGTGGACAGACAAATTACCAGTGTAAGCATTCTTACAGTTAAAGTATCTGATGTTTTATCACAGTAAAATAGTTGAGTCAGTTCTCTTTACTAAAGATAGTTGAATGTTAAAGTTTATTATTTTTGATGTTCTTTTCCTTAAGCTGCTGGAAGTCCTGAAGAAGATGAAATGTATGAAGCTGCAATAATAGAAACAAATTGCATTTACCGCCTTGTAGAGGATAAACTCATTCCTGAGGATGACTACTGGGGAAAGGTGCCAAAATGTACCCTGCTACAACCAAAAGAGGTATTGTGCCACTTACTGCTCCTGCAGTAAATGCAGGAACATACAGCTGACAACGACTTTCAGTAACTGCAAATACCTGTGGAGCGGCTCAATGAAAATTGGGTCCTCTGTGTTTCTGAAAAGCTTCTGAACACTTTGCTGTCTAAAGTGTGCTGCAGGTCTCAAGAAATTAGAACATGTTATGTTTAAAGTGAAATACTATTTTAGGAAGTGTAAATCTTTTCATCAACAGTGGCTCACTCCAAAGTCATGAAGTGCAGAACAGGTAGCACTTTAGAAAAACAAAACAAAATAAAAACCTGTTTTCCCTTTCAAGCATTTTTATTTCTATTCTTAGCAGACTTTTCCTTTTTAAACAACCATTTCACCCATCAAAGTAGAAATGAGAGCAGATTTCCAAAATAAAGACAATGCATTTTCTTGAAAGTGTTCAAGTTGCTGCCTGTTTGCTGAGCCAGGTCCCCATGCTGTATGTTCTGTCAGCCTTCCCCAGCTGCAGGACGAAGCACAGATCTAAATGTCAGTGAAAGCTGCTGTAACTGGACAACAATCAGTCATGCACCAGAATAAGAGCTCTCTAATCTGCTAGTGATGTAGCTACCAGCTATAGATACACTTCATAGCATTCCCCATACTTGCTTCCAGTCATCCTCAACAATTAGACGTTGCAGTGCAGACCACTGCCCTGGCTTTACTTGCCTTGCAGTGCTAGTTGTTAGTGTCACTGCAGAAACTCAAGATATTTGGAAGAATTTGTGTTCAGTGCACTGTAGGAAATGAGGATCAGAGTATCACCTAACCTAATGGTATGTTGTCTGTTTGGTTTGGTTTTGGTTTTAGGTGCTGGTGTTTGACTTTGGTAGTGAAGTATACGTATGGCATGGAAAAGAAGTTACTTTAGCACAAAGAAAAGTAGCATTCCAGCTGGCAAAACACTTGTGGAATGGCACCTTTGACTACTCCAATTGTGACATAAATCCTCTGGACCCAGGGGAATGCAATCCCCTCATACCCAGGTATCAAAACTTGACTTTGGTCTCATTGCAGAAACTTGGTTTTCTTGCCCTTATTTCACAGTGTTTAATTCGATTTTATTTCTTCTTTTCCCCTTGTACAGAAAGGGACAAGGACGCCCAGACTGGGCTGTGTTTGGCAGACTCACAGAACATAACGAGACCATACTGTTCAAAGAAAAATTTCTTGATTGGACAGAGCTGAAGAAACTCAATGAGAAGAATTCTAGTGAATCCCCTCACCAGAAGGTGCATATAATAATCATGCTAGGTATTTCAAACTAGATGACCTAGCTGGGATGGAAGCCAGGGAAGCTTGTTCTCAAGGATCCAGAACACTTTCTTCATCTTGCGAGCTTTGACCTAGGGGTCAGAACATCACCACCAACAGTGAAGCCACAGAGTTGCTTTATGTTAGTGCTGAGCAGCTCAATGAATACTGCCAAGGTGGCTTTGACAAGGCATCAAATGATGACAAGATATCAAAGTACTCAATTACACAGGAGTCAAACTGTTTGAGTGGAACTGTGGGGTAAGAAAAAAAGAAGTTATGCTCAGTGAAATCTCTTCTGTTTTTTTTGACAGGAAGAATCCAGATCTGACTCTAAACCATATGATGTCATGCTGATGGTAGCTGTGCCCCAAACAACTGTAGGCACAGTCTTGGATGGAATGAATATTGGCCGGGGCTATGGACTTGTAGAAGGAGAAGATGGGAGGCAGTTTGAAATCATCACTGCATCTGTGGATGTCTGGCACATCCTGGAATTTGATTATAGTAGACTTCCTAAGCAAAGCATAGGGCAGTTCCATGAGGGAGACACATATGTTGTGAAGTGGAAGTACATGGTGAGCACTACAGGTTAGTGAACAATTCCATTTCATCCTGCTGAAACATGGAGAAGTGCAGCTAAAACTGCTGCAGTTAGTAGTGAGATCCAGACCTAAACTTCCTTGGGTATGAAACAGTTTTAAAGGTTAGAAATGCTAATTTAGCCTTCCTAGGCCATTAAAGATGTATTATTTTATTTTGTTTAAAAGAAAAAATAATTAAAAAGCTGTAGTTATTTTTTGTACATGAAGTGTAATACTATCCATCTCTTCTTTTACCCAACAAGGGTGGTGTACCTGTTCACAGGACAGCTCATTAAGCCAGAATTGTGCCCACAGCTTAACACCAAAATAACTAGGCAGCTGGACTAGTGACAGTGGTCTGAACGTCTTGCAAGAGTGGTAGGCTTAGCAACAAGGAAAGCCTTTGCTGGGTAATGCAGAAGAGTAACAATGACAGGAAAAGCCCTTGCCAACTCCTCGCCCTTGCTGTCCTTTTTGTGGAAACCCTTTGGTATGGATTTCAGTCTCAAGTGGAAAACTTTAGCAGTGTTCTGACAAAGAGCCTGAGAGCAGCAGGTAAAATGAGAATCAGTCAGCTCGGTATGCTCATTGGAGCTCTCCCTTCTGGCACTAAAGTAAGAATAGGTGGCTTTTGTGGTAAGTATTATAAAATTGAAATAGTCTAAAAATGATTGTTCCAAATAGGAAAATATCAAAATTGGTTGAAAGCAGTATAACAGCTGTACAGCTTCAGGCTTTCAGCCAAAAAATATAGGTAGGTCTTATTCAGGATAGTTGAGTTCAGATATTGGCAAATCCAAGAAAAACACAAAAGCTCGTAAGTCTTGCGAGAAGTGGGTAACAATAATACTGAACTGTAAACAGACTCCTAATCCAAATGGATGAAAATATATTCCATTCCTTCAAAACAGAATAAATTTTTATGTAGGAGGCAGTACTTTTATGGGATGAATGTAGAGATAAGAGTGAAAACCATAAATTTTAGAAGTGACTAGTGGTTAGAACATTCTCAACTTGAAAAAGACAGAATGCTTTCTCTTAAGTATTTCAGTTCAATGCTGCTCAGCACTGCTGAAATCAAGGCAGAAGTTTTAATATTTTTTTAAGAATCTGGTTTAAAGCTCTTAGGCTTTTTGAAATCTTTAATTATATCTGTTTACTCAGTATTCACTGGACAGAGTAAATACTCTGTAACTGGTTGTATCGTTGAACTTCACTTGCTGTAAACATTATTTGCTTATCATAACAGCTAAATACCAATCCTTTCTAAAGAGGAAAAAACAAACAAGCAAAAAAAAAATAGTTGTTGCTACCCTACTTTCCAGCCCAAAATGAAATAGTGACTTAATTTTTAAAAATAAATAAATAAATAAAGTTAACCTAATCCTAACATTTTTATGATTGCAAAATACTGCTTTGGTGTTCTTTTGTTCTGTAGTTTTCCTTTCTGATATCACTTTACCAAGAAAGACTTGTCTTTTATGCCTGTAGCTTTCTCAGCTGTTGCTGTTTCCAGTATCACTCAGCAGCCAGCTACTCTTCTGCTGCCAAAGAACAGTGTGTAATGTGGAAAATGAGCCACAATGCACTCTTCTGGTAACATGACTGGATATACCATTTTGCATGCAAATTGGCTCAGGTGATGTCAGTTATTTTTCTCCTGATAGTACCAGTTCTTTCTACATCTCTTTGTCTGGCCAACACAGGCATCTCGGCCTGTGGGCTTCCATCCACCTGATGAGACAATGCCAACTTTGCACGGGCACGTACTGGCTTGGAGATCTAATGTTCCGCAAACTGGACAGTTTATCCTTCCTGTTCTGGACGGGGTAGTGCTGAGCTGGCAGATGAGATTAAACCATGTGCTGCTTAAACCTATAGCCAGAGTACTTCAGCATGTGCTTTCTGTTTTGCAGTTGGAAGCAGACAAAGAGGAGAGCAACAAGTAAGGGCTGTTGGAAAAGAGAAATGTGTGTATTTCTTTTGGCAAGGAAGGCACTCCACAGTGAGTGAGAAAGGGACCTCAGCACTGATGACAGTGGAACTTGATGAAGAGAGAGGAGCACAGGTGAGCTTCCTGCCGACCTAGGTGGTAGTGCTGGTAAGACATGTCTGCCCAAGTAGCCACTAACAGTAAATGTGGGTTATCTTTTTTGCCTTCCTCTCTTTCTGTGAAGGTGTTCTTGCCAGTGCAAATAGCCAGACCTCAAAATTACTTTTGGCTTTATTACAGCTTTCAGAGACACATAAGCTCCTTTATGGCTTGTCATTCCCAAATCCCACTTCTGAAGATGGTATTTCTGAAAATGGCTGAAGAGGAATGTCTTCTTCTCTACCTGCAGGAATAGGTGAAGCACAGTTAAATGAATTTGTGCCTTCACTTCAAGTATGTGTTCAGATAACAGGACTGTCTTCCTAGTGCTGAGAACAGGAGGAGCACTTTCTGCCATGCCAAGGCATGAAAATACATTGGAAATGTTCAATTTGTAATTACATATTAGATTGCCTTGTTTTGGAGAGGTTCCAGGAGCTACAGATTTGGCTAGTTTGAAGCTCAGAGGACAGACTAGCTTGCTTTGTCTTTAGGTGGAGTTGGGCTTTGCTGTAACTTGACTGTTACCAGCATACAAGATGGGAGGTTCAAAGTTTGTTTCTGCACCTTGATAATGCTGTTAGTAGTTTTTTTAACAGCAACATAGACATGACCAGTTCATAGAGGAGACAAGGTAAATACACTTGATCCAGAGTGTGGGATTCTGTGCAACATAGCTGATTTGGCTGTATCAGTTTCATAATCACGCAATGTTTAATGAGCAAAGAACATGCAAGTTGTCATATAAACCAATTTTACAGAAAATTTTAAACCTACTTCAGTTTCTACATTATCTCCATAACAGTTTCAAAGAACATTGGGCAAGATGGCCCAGTCCTGTAAAGAACTCAGATAATAGTTTAAAGTAATGTAAGGTTTATTTGGTATTCCTTATCCTCTGAAACTCCTGATTGTCTCAGAGCTAGGGGTTTATCTTAATATGCAGGTCACACATGAAACCCATTGCATACTGATATATATGGTAATTTAAACAGTAGTCAGCAGTTGTAAAGTAGAAGGAAAGCCATCTTCATGGATGGCCATAACTATGTAATTTTTAATAATCCATAGAGACAAGTTTTCATAAGTCTATAGACTTGCTTCATTTTTTTAATGAAGAATGGTGCTTTCAATTCTCAGGTACAAGTGCTTCAAGGGAAAGAACCGCCATGCTTCCTGCAGTGCTTCCAAGGAGGGATGATTGTGCATGCTGGGAGAAGGGAAGAGGAAGAAGAAAATGCACAAAGTAAATTACTGTTAGTTAACAGCTTCTGCCCAAAAATCTTTTTTTACCTATTGTGAAGGGTTTTGAATTCAGTCTTAACTACCATACTCCATAGAAAAGAGAAACGAATGCCATGAAACCCATGAGACAGCTTTGCAATGATTTGAGGTAGTTTGTTTCTTTCTTAAGCAATAGAATGGATTTTGTCACCCTACAGCAAACTGACTTTATTGATATGCATATAAATTGAGTTGTTTTTTAATTAAGCAAAGTGCCTGTTTGCTTTAAAGTTGTTCTTTTCTACATGGTCTGGGCAAAAGAGTATTTGTATGAGCAGTTGTCCTGCTCCAAGGAGAACTCTGAGCTTTTGTTACCTATTCATTACCTTTTGCAACACGTTCCCTGAATGCTGCAGTTGAAGGAGAATTTCAATGCAGGTGTAGCTTGGACATGTTCCAGGTTGCATCTGAATGTGACCCCCTGTGCCTAAGGTGCACAGGGGAAGAGGAGCTGAAAAGAATAACTACTGTATTTGTTTCCCTTTTTTTTTTTTTTTTTTTTTTTTTTTTTTTTTTTTCTTGTATGAAACAGAAACTTGACTCTTCTGCTCTGTTAAGCTCTTCAGCTCTTAATACTTGTACTCTTGTAGCAAGGTTTCAGAAGGCATCTTTTCTGCAATGGGGTTTCTCAAGTGATGTTAGCCAAACCTGATGCTTAGCTAGCTTATTCTGTGATGATGCAGGCATGCAATATGCGAAATTCATCCAATATGAGAACAGCTGTTCCAGAGCAGAGGTCTTGAATTTTCAATCCCATGTGATTGTATAATACTGCTGCACTGTTCCTGTCTGCTCCAGGTGACTGGAGACTATATTGCGTGCGAGGAGAAGTTCCCAATGAAGGAAACTTACTTGAAGTAGCATGTCACTGCAGCAGCCTGCGTTCCCGGACATCCATGATTGTCCTCAATATAAATAAAGCTCTTATCTACCTGTGGCATGGCTGCAAAGCACAATCTCACACCAAGGATGTAGGAAGAACAGCAGCCAATAAAATAAAAGAACAGTGAGTGTCTGACCTATATTTTGGAGATGTTTATACAGGCTACCAATTTACTTAAAATAGTCTGCCTCAAAGAAAAGTTGAAATAAATAAAGCTGTCCTCTGAGTACAACTGCGGCATGTGCATGCTTGGTAAGGAGGAGGAATGATAGTTGACTTGGTGGAGTGGGGAAAACATATGTTCTGTAATCACCTTCACTTAAGGCCAAATGCACTTAATTCTTCCCACTGTACTAATTACAGTCACAAAAAAAGTCTCCATTTGGGGGGAGGTGCTCAATATCTGAATAGCAAACTAAATCCCAGTTGATAGGAGGATTAGAATCAAGTCTTGTGAATAAGGAAGAAGAAATTAATTTGGGAAAGCTTGTAAGGAGGACAGCAGTAGTTATAAAAACAGGCAGTGAGAATCCCTCCTGAGTGCTCATGTGAGCATCTCCTTCATTCTGGGTATGTGATCAGAAATGGTATGAGAATGGTTGCTGAAATTCCATATTCTTTCTATTGATAATTTTTAGAAAGTTGACATGACGTGTGTAACAAGCCTATAGGGTGCTTTTGGGTTCTAGTAATGCAAGTGGCCAGCAGGTCTGTGTTAGCTGCATTTGGGGCAGGAAAGCTGGGTTCACTCTCTTTCTTTGTGTTTTGTAGATGTCCACTGGAAGCAGGGCTGCACAGCAGCAGCAAGGTGACGATACACGAATGTGATGAAGGGTCAGAGCCTTTGGGATTCTGGGACGCATTAGGAAGGAGAGATCGAAAAGCCTACGATTGCATGTTGCAAGGTAGACCTGCATTCCTGGATTTGGCACTTGCATTTTCTTTATTGGTTTGCAGTATTGTGAGACTTAATGTAAAGCTTTTGAAGAACTTCTTGGTAGTTTGAGATGATCCCTTCAGAGAGATGCTTTCAAAAATCTACTGAGTTAAGTAATACTGTTGTAGAAGAAAGTGCTGGATAACAGTGTTTCATTTTGTTCTCTCCCCCTTCTGCAGCCCCTCTGTATTCATGTAGCACACAGCAACAGTTAACCCTGTTACCAATGTATTTTGCTTCTCTTCTGAAGGGATTTAGGAGGCAGTTCTGCACACATTCTTCTCCAGGCTGTGCTTTAAAAATGCCAACAAAGGTAGCAGGGGGATTGATTTACTAAGTGGAAAATTTGTCAGCTAAAAAGTAAATTCTGAGATGGCCTTGCTTCACTTAAGCTGCAAAACAGTTATGAAACTGCGGATAGTAACTAGCCAGGATCAGATTCAAACTGATGGCAGCCAGCCTTTTAGCTCAAGTTTGTCACAGCTGTTGCTAGTCCCCAAGACATCTGGTCATTTGTCTTGATTTTTCAAAACCTGGAGAATTTAAAGTCACTCTAAAAGTTGGGGGTTTTATCTTTTATTTTTTTACATTCATCCCTGGCATTTTCCATTGGAAATCTTCTTAATTTTTCTTCTTTAAAGATCCTGGAAAGTTTAATTTCACCCCCCGCCTGTTCAGCCTCAGTAGTTCATCAGGAGAGTTCTCAGCCACTGAGTATATTTACCCTTCAAGAGACCCTGCTGTCATCAATTCCATGCCATTCTTGCAAGAGGATCTTTACACTGCCCCACAGCCAGGTATGTGCTTTAAAATACTTAAGTAACAAAAAAACAGATAACTGATTCAGTAACTGTTAATCACTTTTAACTTGATTTATTGCAGAAAAATGTGTGCATGTGATGCTTATACAGTATTAAGCAATAACAGTGATTTTTCCATGACAAAGATGCTGAGAACTAATCAAATGTACATGTATCCCAAAAACTTGCTATAAAAATACATTGTTTATATTGAAGGATCTGAGTTCAGCTGAGGTTCAGCTGGATGAATAATGCTTTGAAATGATCCTGTCCTGATGCTGACAAGCATGTAAGACTAGGGTTTTTTAGGGGATTCTGAGAACTAATACCATGGCTGATGATGGATTTGTTATTTTTTTTGGCTGTGTAGCACTGTACCTTGTTGACAATCACCATGAAGTGTACCTGTGGCAAGGCTGGTGGCCTGTGGAAAACAAAATCACTGGATCAGCTCGAATTAGGTGGGCTACAGACAGGAAATGCGCCATGGAGACAGTGCTCCAGTACTGCAAAGGTAGCAGATTTCTGTGCCTGGCTGGTCTGTGTTGCACCTTCCCATGCTTTACTGTCCTGAGCTGAAAGGTACTCAGGTGCTCCCCCAATGTTATCAGGAAACATCAGGGTATTTGAAGATACATTCTCCACACTTTCATAGCAAACCATTTGTCTAGTAATAGGATTGTTCCCAAGTTGCCAAGATACTCTGCTGACTCAGTTCTCAGAGGAAAGGCTTTATTTCTCTTCTGTGCTTTATTTCTCTTCTGTGAGAGAGTAGTTCAGACATCAGATCCCTAAAAGTGAATTCTGAGAACACAGCCTCTTAAATCTGAATGCTTTCTGTCTAGTTTCTCTTAGATTTCATAAGCTTCTGTGTATCATAAGACAGAATGAAGATACTGATTGCTGATGTAACTAGGTTTTGATTTAGTGGGGGAGGTGAAAATCAAGAACAAGTCTCACACAGAAACAGCTGGCCACTGGAAATGCTGGAGCACAGAGCCTCAGCTCATTTCTACAGGACAGAGTTATTGCCACTCAGTGTGCTGGAGTTAGTGCCAATCAGTGTGCAGTGATTCCAGCTGCAGTTGATGATTATGTAAGAGTACACTGACCAGGTTATTTTCTGCATTAATAGAGTTTCCTTGAGACACTGTAATGCTTTCCTCTCACTTCATCTAAGGCTAGGTGAGGCTGGGAACAGACTTGGCATCTTCTGATGGAGGCTGAATAAAGGTGTGGGGTTACCATCCAGGAAAGAGGCCATAAGCAACAGCCGTGTTCTGTTAGTTCAGACCAGTTTCCCACTGTAAGTCACTAGGGCTTAATTGGTGCAAGCTATGTCCTCTTGAAAGGAAAGCCTCATTACTTACAGACCTTGAGACCTCATGATGCCAGTGATTTCTTCTGTAGCAAATAAATTTCACAACTTGTGACACAGCTGGTGTTAACTGTCGTCATCTCCCACAGACATTTGTATATCTGAAGAGTGAAAGTGATAGCTTTGCTGGATTGCACCCTTATGAGGATAAGCCAGTCTCTCCTTCCCAATCTGCAGGTCAAATTGGAATCAGAGCAAGTGTTGTGTTTCTGCAGTTGTCTTGTGTCTGAGGCGAGGTATCTCCTGACAGGAGACAGCTGAAAATCAGTACTGGAGACACTGAAATGTGACCTTCATTGGACTGTGTTAGTGCTCTACATGGTTCATTCTCTGGTGTTCCTGGCACTGCCCTACCAAACAGCAGCATTTGTTTAGCAGTGGGGTGCTAAAGATAAGGCACTAGTTAGTTGGAAGTCTCTCTTTGTCAGTGACTGCTGAATTCCTGAAGAGGAGGCCAGTTACTTGTTCTCCACCATCCCCACCCCGAGTTTTTGCAAGACAGAAGGAGTGATAAGACGCATTTCTTTGAAATTATTTCATACGATGTGCTTCACAGCAGAAGTGAATGTCAGCACAGAGGAACAGAGAGAACCCCATGCAACGAGGTGCCCAGAGTTGCTCAGCAGGCTAGCGAGAGAGATGGAAGAAAGATCCTGGTCTGAGTGTTCCTGATGCAGTGCTGTAATCTGGTAATGAAAATCATGTTTTCTGGCCCCAGCAGAGATGGAATCAGATACACATGCTGAGGTTTGGATATTTTTCCAGATCTCTTGAACTTTAAGTTCGATGATGGGAAAAGAGATTAATACCTTCTGCAATGGATTGAGTTTGCTGCATCTGAGTTTGATGCACAGTGGAAGGCTTTTCAGTGATTCCTTATGGGTCTGAAGTTTAGCATATGTATCATAGGACAAGTTTTTTTGCAAGGTGCTCATTTCTTTACCACTGACCATGACTTTTCAGCAGTTGTGGCTTTATCCTCTTTGCCATGGGGTAGTTCTCAAGAGCTTCGGGCTGTGTGGTTCGATAGGTAGAGAGTGAGTTTGTTCCTGTTAAAGACTGATTCTACTTGTACTATTTCTATGCCAAAGCTGATGTGAACTTCTTTAGCAGTTTTTTATTGTTCTGGTGGTCTGTCAACCACTTAAAAATTTAATTGCATCAAGCTGTCAGGGCTAACTAGCTCTTCTGTGTTGTTACTTATCAAGGTAGATAAACTGAATTTCAGGAAATACCAATGCTGCTGCAGTTGTTTTGACTACAAGAATATAGTTGAGTGATCAGAAGAATTAAACCACTTTTCTCTTATTTTCCTCTCTCCATTTCTTTCCTCCTCTATGTCCACCTCCCCTCCTCCCCTTCTCTTTTTCTTTTCCTGGCTGGCAGTGTTTAACTATGTGATGGCATGAAAGAGATCGATTAGCAACTCTGGATATCCCTTGAATATACCTAGCAGTTGTCCTTGTGCATATTTCTTATTTAACTTGTCAAAATGTCTTGAAAGTTTTTGTGTTGTTTTTATCTGCTAAATCAGCAGTCTGGAGAGCTGAGCTGCAGACCGCTAGGAGAGGTTTGCTCTTCAGTGATTCTTTGAGACCAGCTTGGGCTGAGAACAGAGTTCATGCAGTGAAAATGTTTCTCTGCTTACAAACAAATTCATCTTATCTATACTGGAACGTTAGCAAATGCCACTCTCCTTTCATTTTTTGGCTGAGAGTGGAGCAGTGCAACTAGAGCAGATTCATACATTTTTTTAAAATGCAAAGTTTAAGTACTTGTTGATCGTTCATGCTAGAATGAACAAATAAACCACAGTGAAAATATGTGGAATAGAAGGCTTAAAATCACGTATTCAAATGATAAATCTTCTGTCTAAATTGTATAGTTAAATCACTCGCATTCTAGTATGTTTGTTGGACTACACCACAGAGCTTTTATCTCTAGTATTCAGAGTTTCATGGGGACATATTCTCTCTAATCAGTTTTCTCCCAACATCTGATATAAAGCCAAACCTGTAATGTTCAGGTTTTGCAAACCTAATAGAAAACGATGTCCAGCCAGGCTTTTTGTTTGCATTCAGCACAGGTGTTGCATCTGTTCCCTGGGGTGCTGCTCAGCAATGGGGAGGAGGGGGCTGTGTTGTTTTAGACCCTCCTGCCTGACAGCCCACACACGTCAAGTGCAGGTAGGGACTACAGTAAGAAACAGGATCTTCTGTAATGGATTTATACGCTCTAGAGGAAATCTTAGTGCATTAAAGATGCTCTATGATTTGAATGTAGGGAATAACAGAATTTTGCAAGAAGTGGTTTTTAGGGAAGCTACAGCCCTCAGAAGTTAGGTGGTGTCATGTTGTTCTGTTTCATTTGATTCTGGACTTTGTAACATCTTCAGCTTTTCCACTGCTTATCTGGAAGAAAAATTTGATTAGGCTGAGTTGTTTGAATCCAAGTAAGAAGAAGGTATAGTATTTTTTTGAATGATAGCTCCTCCCAGTCCCTGACCGCTTGCCTACCTCTTTCCAGTAATACTTGAAATTTATCAGTGCTTTTGAATCCTTGGGAAATAAAATCATTCAACCAATAGGGCCTTTTTTCACCAGTACTTTGCATAATGACTTTAACTAATTAATCTGTTATGGCATCACTCCTAGGCAGGGTTATGTGTGTGTCCTAGGTAGTGCACACACATAGATGTCTTTAAGAAGCAGGAATGTCTTTGAAAATCATCAGTAATCACCATCTAGTTGTTGTAATACCTCTGTTAACTTTCAGATCCCATTTCTTTGAATTTGTAATGACAAAATGATTGTGTTAGACCTCAGTATCCCAGGTTAAGAACAGTTTTAAGTATTCGCACTTAAGCCTCCAAGCTTAAGCTTCATTTGCTGCTGACAGGACGCTTCTGCTGAGCGTACCAGAAGGTTTCATTTACCCAAATTTGGCTAATTTCAGACCGCCAAACTCTGCTTACTCTACTCTAACTCTAATTTTTGTAAGATTAGGAATACATTGAGTTAGGAGGTAATGATGAGGGATTTTCAGCACACATGGTTTGATCTCTGTGGTGAGATACAGTAGGAGGCAGATTTAAGAATACTGAAAAACTTGTTAAAAGGTGCCATACTACATTTAAAAAAAAATCCTGATGAAACCTATTCTTACTGTCTTTAATTACTTGATACTTTCCTGAGAAGCTGAACATGCTTACAAGGTAGCTTTGGATAGTGGGTGACATTGCAAAATATGGTACCATTTGTAATTATTCTCTTTTTTTTTTTTGTATTTTGACTGTTTTTAGGGAAAAATGTAAAGAAACCCCCAAAATCCTATCTAATTCATGCTGGCCTAGAGCCTCTGACCTTCACTAATATGTTCCCAAGTTGGGAACACAGGGAAGACATCGCAGAGATCACAGAAATGGTAAATCTTTTCATTGCACATACTGTTTCCTATTGCTAGTAATTGTGTCTTGTGTTGTCAGTAATAGTGCTTGTTTGTGCTGCCAAGCCCCAAAATCCAGAGGATGAACTTAGAAAGTACAGTTCAGGAGTCTACACAGGAAAACTGCTAAATTCTGACAGGGAGGGGGATATCAGAGACATTCCTGGTTGTTTTTTCATGTAACTTCTCATATTCTTTTTCGTTAAAAACAGGAGTGTTACCTGAATGTTCAGTGTTACCTGAATCATCTCTTAGGAAGAGATGTGCTAGAGTTTAGCAGAACAACTCTCAATCACGTGGAACAGGCAGCGACATTCAGTTCTGGTCTGTCTTCCAGGCTTGAAGTGCAGGGGAGCAAAATGCCCCGTGAAGGATCAGCTGACTACAAGAGCTCCAGCATTACCTTCCCCACCTGGGAAGCAGAGTCACAGCCAAATAACATGTGACTGCTTTAAAAGCCTTCATTGAAGGGGCATCTCAAGGCAAATGACTTTTTCTGGTTTGTAAGTCTTCTGCAGCCATCCTTAGTAGAAAATGCTGGCTTTGTGACTAAACATGGAATCCAGCCTAAAACTGAGAGTACAAGCTGTCCTTCTGCTAAGTGTAGACTTTTTTTTTAGTGGTGAAATTGCTTAGGGCAGGGCTGTTCACCTGTGTGCAGACCTGGATGTGTAGCTTTGTGCTCCGTGGGCCAGGCAGTGCAGGATGATCCCATGCCATCCGCAGACTGAGGTGGGAGCAGTGATTGTGATCCTGTTCTCTGTTTTCCTTTTCCTCCCTTACAGGATGCCGACGTTTCTAATCAGATAATCCTTGTAGAGGATGTGCTGGCCAAGCTGTGTAAAACAGTGTATCCATTAGCAGATCTATTAGCTAGGCCACTACCTGAGGGAGTTGATCCACTGAAGCTTGAAATCTATCTTTCAGATGAGGACTTTGAGGTAAGGAGAGAACATGCGCACTCTTACTCTGTGCATGCATGTCTAAACGTGCTGAGAAGTCACTTAACGGTTGTGCTACTTGTAAGTGTTTTTACTTATGGCATATCCTCTTGTTTTAAATTTAGGTTGCATTAGAGATGACAAGAGAAGAGTACAATGCACTGCCATCTTGGAAGCAGGTTAATCTGAAAAAGGCAAAAGGACTTTTCTAAGTTGTTTTTATTGGAGTGAGAACCAGAGGGATGTCTGCTTTCACTTTCTATGTCCTTTAGAAGAATTGTACCCAACATTTACAAACTAAATACAAATAATCTGAAATTATTAGTGACTACCTATCTGGAGGTGTGTAATATTATAAAAGGCCAAGAGAACTCTTTGGAAATGGAATTCAGTTTTGACTCTTAAAGGTAATGTGTTTAAGCTCTGCTCTCCTATGCACTTAAACAGTAGTTTCTTGACCTACTGCTGCAGGTGTCCTTTGGCTACATACAATACTTGCCATTTTTGTTTTTGAAGAAGTTCTCTTTGTAAAGTGTTATTTTGTTAGTTTGTGGATTACAAAGAATTTATATTTATATAAACACATAGAACAAGTATGTATTTAACAATGCAATATATATTCACTTTGAAGACTTTCATGTCAAAACTACAGAAAAGTATCTGGATGGCAGTTGCTTGTACTGAATTAGCTATACCACCAATATGTATCTCCTACGCATTCTGAAAAGTTTCTCTTTGCAATAGTTAATGGAATGTTCTCAGTGCTGCTTCAGGTGCTAAACTGAACAAAGCATTTGTATTTATAGCATGGATTTCTTGAGAAACTATGCGAATCAACCTTTATACTTTATTATCCAAAAATGTATAGTGCCTTGTTTTTTTGTGTACAGTTTATATACAAAAAAAAAAAAGATTGGTCTGCATTTTGAAGATGGCTTAGAAAGGTCTCCTATGTTACTTTTATAATAGTAGAAATAAAAGCATCTCAGTTTCTAATACTTGTTGTAAACATTAAACATGTCTTTTGTGATATAAGAACCAAAAGTAAAAGCTTCTGAATAAACTCTTAGCGATGCTCTGAATTATCATTATTTTGTACTGTTATCTGTACTGAGTCATTGGAAGCTTCCATAATGTGGTATTTTATCAAAATATTTTAACCTTGGATATCTGTGGGTGTTGTACCATTACAATTTGAGAAGCAGATAATGTAGAAAATAATCAATGTATGTGAAAAAATTAGGTTGTGCAACACTCTAATACTGAACATTGGAATAGTCACATAACTCCTGTATCCTTTGGGTTTGCCTGTTTTATACATGAAACCAAAATTATGCTGGTTTTCAAACTTTGAGAAAATCTTTCCGACCTTTGTGCAATCGGCAGTAAAACTTGAATTGAAAATGAGTATGGCATCGTGTCCATTCTTTCAATAAGAACCCAAGTCAAAACTGTTTTCATTCAGCTAATTAGGACATTGAATAATCAAGTAAAAATTTGCTATTGTTTGAAATGTTTTTCAGGCTTGTGGCATTTCTGTTAACAACTTGTGTGGTTCCCCTCTGGTAGCCTAGTGGAGTTCACATTTTCATTCCTGCCAGAGTAAGTTTCCTTCTGCCCTGCAGCATTCAGAGCTCCTCCTGCTTTGGTAAAAAGTGATTGCCTACAGTGGTGCCTGTTGCTGCTCTTGTCATTCTCCTAGGCCCAGGGAAATGAAGTAGGATCTTTGAATGTATGAGGTGTACAGTTCATCAAGATCTGCTTCATTACTGTTTTCTGTCAAGAACTGAAATGAAATAATCCAAGAAAAGGGTAGGAATGGTATTCAGAGCCAGGATACCTCTTGCATAGCCTCCAGCAAAAAAGATGTCTGATAATTCCTAAGAGGACCTCAACTATGTCTTCTGCATGGGATACGCTATTAGTTTGAAAATGCAGAGCTTTCTAGTGGTAAGTTTATTTTGTGAGCACTGAGAGGTTTCCAAAGTCACTGCTATATTAATCTTAAGTATTTTTGCACCCATATATTTTCCTCTTTTACCCTCTCTAGTGATAAAATCAAGCAGGAATTAAGTTTTATTTATTCATGTTCAGTCTGTACTGTGGGGGTAGCAAGCTCCTCTGTTTTGATTTTTCTCTCCAACAGAGAGCTGATTTGCATAGCATGATTGACCTTGTTTTTCCCTCTGGTAGGGTAGTATCATTTGCTTTTGTTTTTTGAAAACAGCATCAGTCCTCCAAGTGCTGCTGAAGGGCAACATCCACCCACCCTCAAAGCCTTTAAAATCTCAGCTAAAAGAGAATAGAAGCTGGCTTAGGGACCTGCAGGCAGCAAAACATAATTCAGTGTTGTCAGCTCTCAGAGTTCCTGTCATTTTTACACAGTTTGATACCTCGTGTCCTGGTTCCAGGAGCCAGGACACAGAACCCAACTTCACTTAAGTGCTTTGCTCATAGTGTTGCCTAGGAAGGCTTCGAGGTTTTGCAGAAAATATAATATTTCATTGTTCTTAATGTACTTGTTGTTTATAAAAATGCCTTCCTGAAATGTGAAGCTGACAACAGAAAGCAAGTCAGCGTAAGGCCTCAGACAGAACCTGTGGGTTATGCTTTAATTTTCTTCTGGCTTCCCTCTTCACTGTGGGGATGCCATTTATGGTTGGAAATTTGAAAGAGCCATTAAAATATTCTTAAAGTGTTTTTACAGCCCTGCATGGGAAATAGAGTTGCAACAGGTTTTGTCTGGGTATGGGGAGGAGGGCGTTTGTTTTGTTTGCTACGGTTATCTAGTGTTGTTTGCTTGTTTCAGATAGACCCCCAAGAATGCACTTAATGTCTAGGGTTAATTCAGAGGTAAAGTATCTGCATGTGAAAAGGCAGTACCTTGAACATTTTCTGTTGATCTCGCAGCTTCCAGGCCTTGAGCCATGATTCTTATCTCCTGTAATTTTAAACTGCTCAATCCTGACTCTTAAAAATCGTGCTCTTTGATTACACAAGCATTCCTGCACACGTAAGGATTTGTTAGCAGTGAAATGGCCTGGAAACGTGAATATGTTAGTATGCCAAAAAAGCAAATAAAATATTATGTCTGAAAAAATCTGCAGCCTGTGTGCTTCAGCCAGAAGAGGAGGGAAAATGGCAGGTAAGAAGGGGAAGGAAAAACAAAACCGGTCTGGAGGAGTTTGGGAGAGCTTGTTTCTGTTCACCACTGTCCCACCGCTGTCCCACCAGTCTCCCAAACAAGTATTTAGCTGAGCTAAATCCAGGAGTTGTGGATGTACACGCACAACTGGTGAAAGCTGATTCTGAGCTTCTCTGAGAGCCTGTGGAGCTTTCATGGGAGAGGGGGGCTGTGGCAGGCTGGAGTTCGAATGCTGCAGAGCCCTCTAGGCTAGAGGCTTTGGCTGGCCCAGAAACCGTCCTCACAGAGCAGCATTAACCCTGCCTGACTGGAGTGGCAGAAGCACAATGTGAGCAGTCTCTGCTACTCTCAGTCTAAATTTCCGTTTTGGATCAAGTAGCAGACGAAGAGAAATAGCTCAAATAATAATATTCTCCAAAGTGCCTGCTTTCCACATCCCCTTGTGTGGAAACTAAAGTAGGTTTGCAATAATGGGTTATTGCTGCCCAGAAGTAGGAGAAAGCAGCCTGTACTCTTGAATGTGTGAGGCCCCTGTTCACCTGATGTACTCTCCCAGTGTGATGCTGGGAGCTGACAGCTGATGCTGAAGGGAAATCCCTTTGGGCACAGGGAGGGGATCATGCTCAGCCCTCAGTACTGGCTCTGGAGACACGTGGCCCCATTTGCTTCTCACAGGGCAACAGAACGGGGTTGGTGATACAAGGCCGAGAAGCTGCCAGGGGTAGATGAACACTTCTAACCTTCCTCCTGAGATGGAATGTGTGAATGATGTGATGAAGGAGGTTGGGGTGCAGTGCTCGAAATGCCAGTTTGGTTCTCCTCGCCTCTGCTCTTGTATTTCTATGCCCTGAAGGTTAATGCTGATTCTGCATTGTTTTCATGTGAGTTGATCAGTGGAGTAAGAAAAACACGTGGAAGAACAGCTAATTGTGAGTAAGTCCTCTTTCTGTGTCTATCGTGGTGTGTTAGTAGCTAAAACTGCCCAGAGAACAGTCTGGAGAGTCAGTGCAGTTTCCTGGCTTTGTGGCTAATTTTTGTTAAGACCTGTGACTGTGGAGTAGTGTTGTCACAATGTTAGTTTTTCTCTATCTCATCCAAATATCCTGGTCCTATAATAATACAAAAAAACCCAGCTAAAATATTTTAATAATATTTTTCCCTTCACTTTAAGCCTTAGCATGTGTGCTGTACTGACTCCTTGCTAGCAGTTGTTTTCTGGGCACTGACTTCTGAACTTGGAGGTGAACAAGGGCAAAACCTCTCCACAGACAGAGGCACGACCCAAATACCCAAGCAGTAAGTATGGCCAACCCCAGAAAGAAAAGGATGAAGCAACAGCTCTTCCTGCAGGTGGGCGAGAGGGCAATCCCAGGGATTATGCTGGTCAGTCACTGCCCTACCTGTGAGGGAATCTGCTGCTCACACAGGTGGTACCTGCCCACAGAGTGATACCTTTCCTCTTCAAAATTGGTGTGTCTTGCTTTAGCAAAGATGCTGGCTGCAGGGCAGCCCTACCATTGCTGTGACTCGCAGGTGCTCTTGGACTCTGTTTGGCACCCCAGGGCCTGTTCTGTATCAGGAATGTTTCGTGGGGGATTTTCCAGTTTGTTTTTGTGAGACTCGGTGGTAGACTGGGGGGGTACGCAGCCAAACAGCAGTATTTTACCAGCTGTCAGCCTTATCTTGTGGGGAGAACAGCCCTCCTCCACATTACTCTGCTCTTGGGTGGCCTAGAGCTGCGTGGACTGGGAGCCAGTCATGCAGGGACTATTCCTAGAGCTGGAGAGCAACTGAAGAAGCAACACCAACCAGCCCATAAAGCTGCATATGCTCAGAGATGAAGCAAAGTAAATCTTCATCTCTGGCTTGTGCTTCTGAAGTGCAGCATGTTTCAGAGGAATGGTGAAAAAGAGCTAGTGTCACATGCTGTGTGCACACCATCATCTCCCCCGCAGCTGGGCTACTTTGCCTTCAGGTGCTCCCTGCCGTTTATTCCTCAGGGAATCAGTGCTATATACTGCCCAAGTGCCAAGGCAGCAGGCACACAAGATCAGCAGTCGGGACTGCATCTTCATACTCTTTCTTGCCAAATCTTGTGCTCTCCAGACACAGTCATAAATAAGGGCAGCCCCATGTCTTGAGGTTCAGACCCAGTCCTGATGCACTGACAAAGCAGAAAGTACCAGTTGCCCTCTTGGCAAGACCCTAAAGTGCTGCTTGTATAAAGCTTTGTAAATCACTCCTGTTCAGTGTAGCCTCTTAGACTAGCAGAGGAATATATTTTCACAGCAAGGACTGGACTCTGGACGAATGTCTTACATTCTGTGGCTAAAAGATATAATATTTATGTAAAAGAAACATTTTTGTTTTCAGCTCTCTCGTGGCAATAAAGAACCAGAGTTTTTGAAAAAACTTTATCTTTTCAAATAGAAGATAGATATTATAGAATGTCTCAAATAAACAACCACCAAAAATTAAAAATTTATTGTCAACACAATTAACTAGCCCTCCGCAAATTACACGTTCAAATGTCTGTGAGAGGAAAACAGAACAACTTCCTAGGGTTTAATGACAACCCAAAACACAGAACAAGGCACCACTTCCTAGGGTAGGTTTAACCCAAAACGCTCTATCACTCACCTAACAAGTGAGGGCTCTCAATCTCAAGTACCTGCTTTGGGCAGTGTCCCAACCCAAGTCACCTGAAGGAGTTTCCTTGGCTGGCATCCCAACCCAAGAGGAAAGTCCTTGACCACAGCATGCTGCTCCAGGGGACAAGCTCCCAATGGCTCAGCAAGGGACTCCATTTATACCCAGGCAGAATCTGACCTGTAGTCAATGGTGGCTCCCATTGGCCAAAGGCCCCAACTACCGTGAAGCCCCAAGAGCAAAGGCAATCAGGAGCTGCTACATTTCAGCAGCCAAGAAGCC